CCAAAGCAACAATTATCAAATGACAGATATTCTTTGATTTTCCACCAAATTATGTGAGATGCACTTATAATAAATATACAGCAGACCGTGAGGAGAACTAGTAAGCAAATCAAGGAAGGGAAAGGGTCATGAGTTATTTCCTCTGTCAAAAATATCACTCCAAAACATCAACGAAAATGCTTAAAAATATATTTATTTAGTTATTACAGTCGTTCTCGTCATCAACTTTACCGTAATGTTTTACTGGTGTTTTCCTTAAGCCCACTTCAAATTGTATACATTGATACCAACTCACAGTTGTCTCCAAAGTTTCTCGATATGAGCAATCTTTCGTAACAATTCTTTCTCATTATAGCTTTCCAAGCAGTCGGTCACTCCCGACAACAGTAACTACTTCTACTAAACGACTGAGTCTTTATATACAATTAAATTTTGCCTTTCCTAACTCTAGAGCACGGGTGACAGTGGCACAAAGAGCGTCAGATTGTAAATTCAACTTACGATATGGACAAAGATATAGGTCAGAGCATATTCATTAAAATCCCTTTTTTCGTGTGTCAAGTTAGGCATTGGTTTCCTTGCTACTGGGTAACCATGACAACCGGTATTACCTGTCTCATGGATCGGAAAGTCGGCAACTCAACCGGCAAGCCCGCCCCTTGGAGGGCGTGGAGGATGAAACTGAGCATCCTGACAGAACTAAAAACAATATCTGTCTCTGAACCTCTACCAGATACATAGGGTGAGACTGGACATCCTGGTAGACGATCAACACATCTGTCGAAAGATCCGTGTTGGGCTTTCGTCAGTCGGTGCATTGTTATATGCACTACACAAAGAGCAGAGATAAATAAACCTATCACCTGGTCAGTCAATGCAACAGATATTGGAGTCAGTTTTTCTTGGCCTCTCCTTGCCCCTGATAACACCTCTATCTGCCAAAAATGTGCCGCTAGTCTAGCAAAAGCTGGAAATATTCTGCAAGCAGTTTCATGAAATGGTCAGTTAGAAATCAATCAGACCAAACCTAAATGAAACAGTCATTGTCGCCCCCGATGGACACCCCTGATATGATATGATACACTTGTTTTTGGAAAAAAAACGAAAAAACAAAAACAAAGATTTAGAAGCTTGAATGACCGGCGAGAGTTTCTTTTTATTTCCATTTAAAAGCATTTCAGACCAATTTTTCGTAAAAATTTGATCTCCATTTTGTGACCGTAAATGTTGAAATATCATGATATTAGTATTTTCGCAATTCGAGCAGGTGATTCTTCTTTAACAGTAAGTTTTCCAAATATCATTGTATGAACCTCGTAGTGTTGTCTATTGTAAAAATGTGCTGTAATTTATTTTATTGTAAGTAATGTTTTGTTATTTAGTTAAACCATATATTTTAAACTTCTCTTTACAAAAATTAATGTTGCAAGAAAACACTGAATCAAATAATAATAAAACCTTGTGTGTAGGTGAATACGACACGTTTATTTAAAGTACTGATTACATCGTCTAATTATTCATAAGCTTGTAATTATAACTTCATTCTTTTTGAATCGTGTACTTTGCATATCATTTAAAAAATGAAAAATAAAAAATTGGAATCGAACTTTTCGGCTTCCTTCAAACTTCCCGGATTGGTCTTGTTAGAGGTTGTAAGCAGCTTCGTAGCTCATTCAATGGAATGTGATGCTCGGAAGTAATGCGTACGAAATAAAAAAAGCAATTAATGCCATCATGAATTACCCTGCAGACTGGGATGCGTGAGGCAATGCGTGACTCATATCAATTAATACATGGTGTTTCTGATGCAATTTTGCGGACGTACGGATAGAGGAGCCTGTGAGAATCTTGAATGACTAAAAATATTGCTCTTGTCTTTCCTGCTGTATCCTGGTGAAAAGAGAAGTTACCCATCCCTTCCTCCCTTCCCTGCTCCAGCTTGTGCGCAATTGTTACCCGGGATCTTTTTACTTAAGAAGGCATGTAAGCAACCATGTTCAACTAAATAAAATTTATTTTCACCCATAGTTTCAATATCCACATAATGTTTATATGGCAGTGAGGGAAACTAATTTCACCAACATCTCTTTCATTTGGATTGGTAATCCAAAAGCAAGTCAATAATCTTTTTGGGGGGCGGGGGGGAATCGCTAGAGGTATTTAAGAACCAGTTTAACTTTTTAACTTACAAAAATCAGTGAGGAATGCAGTTTCAGCTGTAAATAGTATTTTATGGATCAAAATACGAGTCAGAACGTAATGACACAAAGGAGCAGCATGCATGTGGTCAATTATTGATAAACAAGAAACAAATATGTTTTCATCCATTACTTATCATTATATCATTATAAAGGTATGCTTTTTTTTATTAACTTTCTTTTAACAAAGGATATCAAAATGAAACTAAAAAGGCATGGTGATCCTAAAACATGAAAAACATCGATATCTTAAGTGAAGGACAGTTGAATGTCGCAGTGCTACAAAATCTTATTAATTTTTTTCTTATTTAGATCATGATAATTTCGCACAGAGTAATATTTTATTAATTAATGCCTCGACGATACTAATTATTATGTTTTTTACGATTTACTTTTAATAACCATTCAAACATGGTGCCAATCTTTATTATTTTCTCAATGAAATAATTTTTCTTCCATGAACATTTCTATTTCTTTGTTTCTGACCTGTCATTTTTTTCTCCTTTTTTCTTAAAGATGGCCGTTTAATAACCAACCAAAAATTGTGAATGTTCTTTTATTTCGTTTAAATAATTCATGGTAAATCCAGCTTATAAAATACCACAAACAAGGAGCCCAGAGTATTTTACGTCGGCAACCAAGACAAGCTATCGTTGACTAGAAAGTGCCCAGTGCAAGAATGGCAGCCAAATTGTTTCCATGTCTGATCGGTTTGCTCTCCCTTCTGGTGTTATTTCCAACCGAGTCTGATGCCTTTGCAAACGGAGGAAATAGTGGTATACCTGGTAAAAGAGCCCTCGAGGAGTTGAGTGACTTTCAGGTAAGTACCTCCAACGCTATGAGTTTTGTTTTCCTTTTTTACCTCTTACATAATGAATGTGATTTGGCATAGCTGACCGCACGATAAAATTTTTCTTAACAAAAGATTAGGTCTAAAAATCACGAAAGACCGAGAAAACTATTGGAGAAATGAAGTAAAAGTCTTTCGAAACTCAGAAATTAAACCAATTTTATTTTTATTTGGTTCCACCGTACATGACAATTTTGACGTCACACCTACTCCCATTTGATTTGAGTGCTTGCTTGTGGCAAGTTCGTAACATAAAGATTCTAAAACAGTTTATAAGTTAGAAAAAATCTCACCTGTGAGGTATCTGAAACTTTGATGTACGGAAATGGAAAATTTATATTAGTTATAATTTTAGAATTCCTGGATAACCTTGTTTTCGCATTTATTTTATTTCTGTCAATTTTCTTTATTTCGTTTTCTTTCCATAGGACGCTGATGAAAATATCATCATGAAACGTCGGTTGTGTGACGTGGCTAAGCGCGTGGGATGTTAAAATGTGATTCTAGATGTTGATGGAAAGAAGTAGTTTTTCTCATAAATAACGTAACATCTCTCCTTTCAGGAATATGAAAAGGTCCATATGAGCGAATAAAAATTAAAACTCAATTGTACAGTGTCATTCTTTTGTTTCTTTACAACATATAATATGGCGGTAACGTGGAAATAAATTGAAATAGAGCTAAAAAACCCTTCAATACTGCAAACTACGCTGTGAGAGAGAAGTTTAAAAATGAATTAAATAGTTTGTGCATGACAGAAACTTCGACGGATGATAACTTCATGAATCATTTAAGTTTTCTTTTTGTTTGGCTTAACTTTCAAGAAATGCCATAATATCTATAATGCGTCACCAGTGCTAACTAAAACATGGTTATTTTCTACTGTAGAGAGAAAATGGTTTTGAAATCGTTGGCGCAGAATCCCATATCACTTCATCTTACTTTGATTTGAAAATAAAACAAACAACATAAGAAACAAGCTCGAGCAGATTTATCGTCTTAAATTTGATAGAAAAACCTCAGGAAGACCCGATTTACAGAGTTTAGTTTTATTTAGAAAGATCACCATTACAAAGCAAGGCTTGTTTCATTGAACCAGCTCATAAATAAAGCGCGAAAGAAAAGTTTACATTCAGGCCCTTTTTTTTTGTCTGATGAAATATTTTGTAGGACTTATTTAATCTTGAAAGGTACATTAAAAGATCAGGGCACCTAATTTACTCTAATCACAGGCAGCCCAAGCTTTAGTTGTGAGATGATCATCTTGCATAGTAAGAGTCATGGCGAAAACATAAGAGTTGGTTTGGGAATAGGAATGAAAAAATACAGTCATATTCTAAATAAAAATACGTCACCTATTTCCATAGTGCATTGCTTGTTGTCTGACCGCTTACAATGTTGAAAAGAAGCCATTTTAGCGAATTACTCATTTCTAGGCTGTCCGTACTCCCAAGAGAAAGGGATAACTCGCTAAAATGGCCTCGTTGCACCAAAGTAAGCGGTCAGATAAAAAGCAATGCACTGTGGAAGTAAGGTGAAGTATTTTTTTTATGGCAGAAATTTACTGTTTTTTTTATTCCTAAGAGCGGTTGTAAGTATTTCCATTCCAACTTTATATATTATATATGCACCACTCAGCTCCTTTTATCGCCCCTCTCTCAGGGGTAACCTACAAGAAATTTCTCCCAACTATGGCAACAATTATCAAGTGACAAATTTTCTTTAATTTTGCAACAAATTATTGACATGCAACTATAATAAGTTTACGGCAGACCGTGAGGAGAACTGTTAATCAAATCAAGGAGGGGAAAGGGTCATGAGTTATTACCTCTTTCAAAAATATCACTCCAAAACATCACGAAAACGCTTAAAAAATATATTTTTTTAGTTATCACAGTCGTTTTAGTCATCAACTTTACCGTAATGTTTTACTGATGTTTTCCTTAAGCCCACTTCAAATTGTATCTTAGCTCACCATTGACACCAACTCACAGTTGTCTCCAAAGTTTCTTGAAATGAGCAATCTTTTTTAATAACTCTTTCTCGGTATAGCTTTACAAAGAAATTTAGAACAATCCGGAAGCTTAATATAAATATTTTGGTAGTGTTACCTTATAATTGCGTGGCCTAATAAAATGTTCCAGAAAGCTCGATGGTATGAAGTCAGCACGACCAAACATTTCAGAAACTTCTTTTACAAATATTATCTATAACAACAAGAAATATATTAATACATTGCAACCGCATTGTGGTGTTATGAGAATTTTTTTTCAGAAATGAGCTAAGAATAATAAATATCGCCTTTTTTTTCCAAGAACAGGCAGGTTTTAGCTTAACCTTAAGCGAGTTTTAGAAAACTCATATTATATACTTCACAAGCTCTTGGCGATTTTTCATTGCTAATACATACTACGCATTTATTTGGCTGTTTAACACGACGTAGCCCCTGATAAGTAAATACTAAGACCGATGGATGTCCCTTTTCGGATATTTGTGCAATAAATTACAAGAAGAACTCTTCTGTGGAGCTTTAACTCAAACCTAGAGGCTACGGCCATTTTCTTGTATCTATCCAGTATCTCATCTCTTCCAGTGGGTAGGTAGAAGAGGTTGCCTGGTTTCTAACCAAGATTATTCTATAGCAGCTTTATAAAATTTGTTCTAATCCAGAATTCCACAACCAACTTAGAAGAAGTCGCTATTCATGTATCATGGCTGCATACAACTGAATAGTAAACAGCAATGATTCAAACTTCAAAATATCCTTCTTTTTATTTTTCATCTTTTACCCAGCAGATCGATTTCCTCATCGTCTGTTGCCTCCTCCCTCTTCTAGAAGCAAATTATCCAGTAGATCATCAATATCATCTGTGTTCCTCTCTTCAGGCCTTCGTTGCGGCTGCACTTGGCCCGGTCTTGGTTGGAGCCAGAAGCCTCGGTGAAGAAGAATTTGGATGTTATGCCTTCTGTCATTTATTCCCTGTATTTCGTTTTGCATTTTAAGATCTCTGGATATTTGTTCTGCTTGATTGAGAACGTTCTCAGCTATCGATTAAGGAAGAGTAAGATTAGAATTATCATGTTCACTCTTTTGATGACATTCAACGCCTTTAACCTTGCTATAGGAAATAAAGTCCATGGAAATATAGTAATTCATAATATCACCCATATATTATGTATATAATTTCACACCCAACCTTCCGTTATAATGCACCTTTTCAAGTTTTATTCAGGTTATGGATCAGAATAACTTCATATATAAAGTGCATTTTTAGCAATTTGCAACATGAAGGAAAGGAGAGAAATACTTCTAAAGAAACGTAGAAAGAAAAAAACTACTTCAAAGGGATTCATGATGATTTCTACCAAGAGGTCATATAATACGTGTATGTGGCGCGGCATAGTCATGCAAAACTTTGCTGTGTATACAGTACGATATCCCACTTGCCTCCCATAAGATATTTCACAGTGGACCACTCAAAAGCTTATAAATGGCCGTGCGTGGGAAACGAGTATGTCGAGTATGCCGAGTTTTCGTACTGTCTCCAATGAAATCGATGTATCAATGACACATCGTATCCAAGTGCAGCCATTTGATATTTCCTGCACATGATGTGATTTGATTTCATGTGAAGCAACGCCATGCATGGGCATGTCATGATTCATCTATCTATTTGTTGGACCTGTCGTACAACGTAAGGCAAACAGTTTACCTTCTCTTAAGTATGCAACTCTTTCTTGTTCTGTAAATTCTGTATCCCGTTGCAGCGCCTTGCGAATGGAGGAATCTGCCTTTGCAATAAGGAAAGTTGCCTTGAATCTTTTTTTACACTGAGGAAGCAACCTGTTTTCAACTTCCTTGATTATACGGTCTGCTTTAGCAATATTTACAGCGGAAACATCCTTTCTGCAAACGAATGGTAAAAATGGAAAAAAACCCTTGTTAACGATCCAACAAGTGCGTATTTTTTAGGAATCTAGCTATTTATAGATCCTGGAACTGGGCAATCTAGGCCTGCACATGAACATGGAATACGACTCGAACGTGTCTTTACTTGGCTGCGAAACGAGATTGATAAGTTGGGTGAAGTGCAAATAGGAGATTATAAAAGAAATTGAATCGAAGATTTTCGTTGGGTCATGTCGTCCCAGTATTTTAAAGCTATTTTTTAACTTGTGAAACGAGTTTTTTTTTCCCAGGATATGCAAATGAGTCACACACGGTAATTAGCACCTGTGAGGCGAAACGTGACATAAAAATGGAAAATAGGAGAATTTGGCTTGTGCAGGTGAAGAAGGATTTGGATCACAGCGTCTAAATTTGAGGTGATTTTGAAAACAGAAATTCGATAAACGCAGGATACTTTTCGTAACATTTAAATATTCTGTAGAGTGAAATGGATAATTTTGTTTTTCTGGAAGATTGTCTATGGAGGTAGGAGCAACCTTGCATTGCTGCAAGACCAGTAAAGTTCACAACCATGTTTCATCTATAGTTTAAGTATTTTGTGCACGAGTTGGCCATGAGTATTCTTTGATTTGTTTATCGCAACTCGTTACCTTGGATCTGGGAACTTTTGGCGGGAGGAACTTAAATAGTGGTAGATCATCCTGATGCTCATCCTATTGATGCAGCGCATGCTATCGTTCTGCTCCTGTTGTGCCCAGATTATCTTAACATCCTCGAAAATTTCTTCGATTTCTCGATCTTCTTCTGATGTTATTCCAATGGCAGCTGATTTGGCTTGTATCAACGCTGCTTTGTTGTACTTGTTGACAGCGGTCTCTTCACTCACGCAAGCAACTTCAAGGCACTGGCCATGAAATGATTCAAACGAATAGATGAAACATATCTTCATTAGAATAAGTATAGTTAGATAGACTTAACTCATTACTCATTACTCTCATTACTCTCATTACTCTCATTACTCTCATTACTCTCATTACTCTCATTACTCTCATTACTCATTACTCTCATTACTTATTACTCTCGTTAGAAATATTATTTTATACTGATTTGCGCCCTTTCTGTTCGTATGTAGTCCGTTTTGAGCTCCATTTTGGAGTAATTTTCATCGCAATCCTTGGAACCGCTCAAGCATCACAACCCTCGCAGAGTCAACGGAGCGGAGTTACATCTCTTCACGGATTCTTTTCTAACGAAGTGACTCACTCTTTCCCCTTTACGATGGCCGTAGGCTATCCAAAGAGAGGGAGAAGAGCTGGCGTGAAGACAAGAGCCGAAGAAGCTAGGAAAAAGTTTACGTTCTTTTTTTCTGATTACTTACAGAAATTACCATCTGAAAAAAGGGAGGGAACCCGGCCAATTCTTAAGGATGAGAGTGCGCACATTAACGCATGAGTAGAACATTGATATCATTTACAGCAAAACACAATCAGACTACATTACGCATGAAGAGATTATTATTAGTAGACAGCATCATACATACATACATATATATATATATATATAAATAAATAAAGATTCGCAGTCCAAACCTCACAGCAAATACGAACGTAAAGAGTAAAAAAATGCGAGGATGGACAACTTCTGACGTAAAATTTAATAAAAACGTTTCGGTCAGAGACCTTCTTCAGTTATTTACCTAAATATGTAACTGACTGGTAAATAACTGAAGCGGTTTATGACCGTGGAAACGGTCCGTATGACAAAATCCTGACCAAAAAGAACAAGGGAATACAAATAGTCTATTTTCTCTTGGTAAGAACCATAGAACCATATAAACCGCGATTTTTCTTCTCGAAAGCAGGCAGATTAAAAAAAAAAAACAAAACAAAAAAAACAAGTTTAGTCTACTTGCCATATAATAAACTACTGCCACAATCATGGGCCAATATTCCTCAGTGCGGCCCTTGCGCTCGCTGAGTATAAGTTATTATTTAAATTACCATTAATTTAAGTGTCGTCATCATTAGTTAAAATGTCAAGGTCCTAATTATTAATGGCGTATTGTGTTAAATTCACCTTCATACTCTGTTATCTTCTGGTAAAGTGTAATCCTAATCGTGTAAGTGATGGGTGTTTCATTTTTCACCGGTAACACAAACACTAAGTTGCCGGCGTATGAGGGAAGCTGTTTATTTCTGCAATCAGTGTTGGTTGCGAGCATCCAAGCGTAAGGCACCACTTTCGGCACAATTTTGAAGCCTCCATCTCGCTGAATACGGATCGCACACAAACGAAAAAACGGTAGTTAACATAAACAAACGAAAATAAAAAATTCCTTCAAAATTAAGAAAAGTAGAAACAACACAAATATCATTAAAATTTTAACCCCTTTGAACTTTTATCAAAACAAGCCAACAAAAGAACTCATCAACTTTTTAATTCAGCTCCAATTTGAATTTACTTTTCTTAAATTAAACAGTGAAAAAATGAATAATTTTATGATATGTTTCTCCTTTAAATTCATTTAGGGTCTTTAAAGATGCTCTGTTGTCTTGATACAGATACGCAGTTTCTTGTGTTGTTTTCTCTTGCCTTGGTTCGCTAACCTTTTACCGAAAAAAGGTCAATAACTTCATTATATACTTTTTTCTTAGCTACTTACAGTGAGATACAGATCCTTAAAATGTGGCGAAGCATGGCAGTCCCAGATTTCCTCAGTATCTATGTCTATCACTGCAACAACAAACTGCACCACCAGAGCAAGAAAGGGGACCTGGATTACACAGGGATGCAGTTGGATTCTCCTTGACTGACCAAAATATATTTCGTCTGATAGCTGTCGGCATTTCTGAATAATTACTAATCGAGCTCTATTTGGTCGGAAAGTACTTGTGGTTGGATGTGTTGCTTTATGGAAAAGACAGTAAATGTACACAGTGTTAACTGATTTCAATTAACAGCAGTTGAGAAAAGATCAGTCTTTAATTGCTGGAAGTTGTGTATCATTCCATCAGTGTAGCGGTATTTGGATATTTAGGAGAAAAAGTGGTACAGTAAGTCGGAGTGGTCAGCATAAAACATGCCGTCGGACCTCAGACATATATTTACGGACTTCAGACTGCGAAAAAATACGGACTACATGTTACAGACCTAGACTTACATGGATTACGTCTCACGAAACAGGGTAAAAAGTGTTGACTACAAATAACTAGCTATTGTTGCTCTCGTTCACTTTTTTTTACGACCCTTATTGCAAAGCCAGATTCCCTCAAAGGGCTTGAAAATATCACTCTCCAGGCCGTAAGAAGCGCAGGAATTTGTATTGAATGTACTGAATGTGATCATTCCTACGACGCTACCGAGCCATAGCGGCTATGTTCAGCTGAAAAAAAAGTCTAAAAACAATAAAAAGGAAAAAAAAATTTATACTTATCAATGTTCTTCACACGATCCGTAACATGCTGTCCTTCCTAAATCTCAATTCCAGATTTTACTGATACCCAGTCCTTTATTCGTCGTCCTCAGCTCGTTAAATGTATCCTATCTCGCTTTTCTTAAATTTGCCGGATTCAAAAGACAATCAGTAATTTTCTTGCCCTCGAGAGGTGGATATAAGATAAAAAAAAATCGGCCTCACGTTTCCTAGCTGACAAGAAGAACCGGTGACTTTTAAGCAAGAAAATCTCTCTTGAATTATATGTAAACAACCAATATAAACAATTAGCACAGACTGAAATGATGCGCAAAAAACAATTCCGGTTTGCGATATCTCTGTTTAAGTCCGTCTGATATGGCGAAAATTACCAAAAATCCTACTGAGAAGTTCTACAAAAAGAGCTTAGCAAAGAACTCTTATAGCTGAACGGCGTACCCGTGTGACTAAGAACGAATTGATGTTAATACCTGTCTTCCTAATATCATCAAAGAACGGACGATTGCTTATGCCGCCGGACCGATAGGTTTAAATAAGATCACTCAAAAGCCATGATTGCCTTCTTGATTCATACATGATTCGGCTTACATCAGAATATGGAAATTTTCGGCCGTCATCTTTCATTTTCATGTCCACATTTGTTCCAAATAGCAATAATATTAGAATGGAACATTTTCATATATATTTTACCTTCGAAGCAGCTGTCAGATGTAGTTAAAAAAAAAGAAAACTTACCATCGATCGATTCTCGAACACCAATATCACAACAGTTCGCGGCATTCATGATAATTTTTGAAGGCCTCTGGTCTTTTCAACTCGCAAATCTAATCTTTCAGGAAATGCTGTGACAAGCATATGTTCGTCGAAGTCAACACAAGGAAGGCGCTCGACCGTGGAAAAAACTTCGCGATGCAAATCGAAAAAAGGGACTTCCCCTAACCTACCTCAAACTCATTACGTATTAATTCATGTCTTTTTTAACGATACATGAGCTGTTTTTTACCGTATACCGAAGCTATGAACTCCTTTCATTTTCTTGAAACGCAAGTAAGATGATTAGTTGGTGAATATAGGAGCAATAGCGCTCAGAAAGTAAACATCGCGGCGTGATAAATAGCTTTTGTTGCAAATTGCCCACGTTGTAATCAGACTGTTATAGACACACAGAAACTGAAAGTGCTGTCTACGGCAAAATCCCGATTTAAGGTATCCGTTTATGAGTATGGAAAATTTTAAACTTGCTCATTCTCAGAATACATATATGTTATTGGCCAGCCGGGAAGTCCGTAATGGGAAAAATTGAGCTCGGGGTCTGGTCTCAGTACTCAAGACAGAGGGCACAGTTTTTCCTACTGTGGTTGGTGAATGACATTTTTATTTTTTTCCCTACAACTTAGCGAAATTTTTTCCAAAAGAACCCAAATGATTTTGGGCTTTAATTTACACAAGGTCTTCCATAAACTAAACAATTTTTTAATGAGTAAATGGTAGTTAAAATAGATGTAATGCTAATTAAAGAGAGAAGCATCACCGAAACATTTTCATTTGCGTAAATTTTAAGAGGCTTCCATTTTTTTTACAAGTATCTGTCACCATCTGACAACCGTCAATTAGAGACCGCGTAAGAAAAAAAAACGCAGGTATACTTTTATTAGAAAAAACAACGGAACTAGTTTAACAAGAACTGTCACGACGATGTTTTCTTTTAAAACAGTCAATGATCTTACGGAATTAAGGTAATCGTCCCACAGCTGGAGCTTGAGCCGCCTGTGGGTGAGCGAAGCTTTCAGTTCTGCTAAAAATATGCTTTCGGTGAGTCTTTCCAAGTCCATTCAATTTGGACAAATTGCTCAACAGAAACTGAAGGTATAGTATATTGCATTACATAGCGTTACCGCTGTAAGGAAACTTCCTTTTACCTAATCGTGTTATAAATCTACTTTCCAAAGTAAAAGGAAAATAACTAATTATGAATATTGTATGGTAGATATTCTATCTTGATTACTGAATCAAGGACAGTCGAATCAGAGGAATAAGACGAGTCACTTGACCGATGAATAATCTACAGAAGGAATTCAATAAGGAAAAGCCACATTAAATGCCTCATTCGAATTTAGTTTTTTAGGAGAAAAGACCAGGTATACACACGCCACTGCAGCAGACAAACGAGCAAGCTCTCACAACTTCAAAATGAAAAATTTGAATTTAGTTACAACTACTTTCCTTGCCATTTACTTACTGAACAGAGGTAAATTTTCGTACATTAATTAACCGTCGATGAGATTAAATAATAGTAAGCGGTCGGATAACAATGCACTGTGAAAGTAAAAGTGAGGTCTTTTAATTAAGAATGTGATTGTATTTTTTTTATTCCCAAGAGCGGTCGTAAATATTCCGATACAAACTCTTTTAATGAATGAGTTGCCAGTAATCGGATCCTTGCGTTTGCGCACAGATTTCTGGGATCGCCACGGGGCAAACATTGTAACTCGCTAGAAAGGAGAGTATTGCGAAAGGTTGTTTGGACGTCCAAAATAGCGATTTTGGCGAGAAATTATGGATTTTTCGCCGCAGTTTTATTATAAATGGATAAAAATAATGTTGATACGAGGGAAATGTAAGTTTTTGTTGCAATTACCACGAAATATGTTATTAAAATCACCGTAAAACTTCTCTCCTTACGTAAGGTCTATTTTGAAACTTTCATCGCGTAATGGTCTCGAAATATTCCAAAATTAACCATAAATCGCTAGGAAATAACTAATTTAGGTCTTTTTAGTTTTATTTACATATGTAAAGCCTGTCTTCATACTTGTTCAGTTGACGTATTTAATAGACAAATTACGACGTTTGAAAATATACCTCCTCAAAGGAGAGAAGTCGTTGTCAGCGGATATGGAAACAATTTTTTACCGAGCTGTTGCTCTCAGTAAGGATGAAATAAGCGATGATGAAAAACATGCGGAAATCCCTAAGTCAAGTGATAGTATGTTTGAGAAAAATCCAAAGGTCTCTGAGCTGCAACTTTTCTTCTCGAACTCCATGAAGGATCGCGTCAAGAAAAGCAAGATCACACCGGGGAACTCCGGTAGAAAATCATATCATCAGTTGTGCATCGCTCCTTAAGAGACCGATTTGTATCACTCATTGTCACAGTGAGAAAGATTTCAGTATTGAGCCGATTATCAACACTCGTGATTCGTTCTCATTGATTACATCAAAGAAGCAGCGTAGGTGTTTTGTCACTTTAACCCTTTAACTCCCATAAGTGACCAAGACATAATTTCTCCTTTTAATATCAATACAATATCAACCAGATAAGTGATGAGAATAAAGAAAAATGTCAATTTGGGGATAATTAGTCGATCCAATACTAAATTCTCTGACCTAACATTATAGGAATTGTATGGTTGACAATAAGAAGAAAGAGAAATTTGATCTGGGAGTTAAAGGGTTAATGTACCACAATAAGACTTATTGCTCAAGTACGTCATTTCAATCTCCTGCTACCTTAAGGTAACTTTCGTAGCGCTCTTTTGCAGTACCAAGCCACGCAAAAAGCTAGAAGTAGACTTAACACACGTACAAAAAACTGAAAAGGCTTTGTTGAGTAATTCCTTAGAGATTTATAGTTAGTTTTCTAAATTTCGAGACCATTACGCGATATCAAATTCAAATTCAACCTTGAGTCGGCATGGAGTGCTAATTGGTAGATTTTACTACATATTTCACTGTTTTTCAAACAAAAACTTGCGCTTCCCTTGTATAAGCATTACCCAAATCCATTTCCGATAAAAGAGCGGCGAAAAAGCGATAATCTCTTTCTAAAATCGTTTTTTTGGACGTCGGAACAACCTTTCGATATACATTTCCTTCTAGTGAGTTAAAATGTTTGCCTCGTGGTGATCCTAGAAATCTTTGCGCAAACACAAGGATCCGATTATTGGCAACTCATTCTCTTATCACCTCACAGCTGGAGCTTGGGCGGCCTGTGGCTTGCCCTTTCACTACAAACCAATTGTTTGAGAGAATTTAGATATTAGACGAATGAAAGTTCCATCGATTATCTCAATTATAACCAAATACCTCACGTTTTAACCGTCTAGGTACTTTTTGTAAAGGAATATAATTAATTACAGACGGTTTTTAGGCCGCTTATCAACCAATATAATGACACTACTGCTTATAAAAAATTAATTCATTTCGAAATCAACATTTTTCTTTCAACCAAAGTTATTTGAGCGGGTGAAAAGAGAGAATTAATTAACTATTTATCGGCTTGAGGTAGTGACCGACGTCTTTGCTTAATTAAAAATACTGCCAAGCCGGAGAAACGAAAGTTATATTTGAAAAATGGCAGCGAAGGTAGGGATGAACTCGGCGACTCATGAAAGCGTTACCGTGCCCGTGGGTAGAGATAGGAAAATAAGCACCGCGCTAAAAACAAATCAGATTACAGGATTTGTTACCGTGCCCTCTAAGAAAAAAAAATGAAAGATAATACTACACACACATCTTTTCTAGCTTTCAGGTAATACCCGAGTTTGCTTTCTTTTATGGAGGATTTTGGATGGAAAATTGATTATTGGCGGTCCATTTATGGTTAAGGGGTTTGTTCACGGATCGCAAAGTATGGGAGTAAAAAACCGAAAAGCCCAAAATTTACAACTTATGGCTGAAATAACTTCCTGAATTTTACTAGAGATGGGTGATTAGCTTGGAAGAGTACGGAATCTTGCAAATGAGTTTGAGGATATAGGGATCGACCAAAAGTCGAGCAATTTATACCAATCGAGCTTCAAAATAAATTTATACCACTCGAGCTTCAAAGAAATTCGGATCTGGATTTTGGCAAAGGAAACCTTGACTTGATAGAACGGCCGCTGTTCTCCCTCCCACGAGATTATTTTCCTTTGAGATGGGCTTTCTTCTGTAATCGCTGGTATATCAGGCCATGGCAGCTTACGTAGATTCACTTGAAAGCTTCTAATATCCTGTACACATATTTAAAATTAGAATGGATTAGAGTGGATCGGACAAAAATTGCTTAACTCTTGATAGAGGAAGCCAAAAATTCCCACCGTAGGGTTTTCCTAGTATTTTCAAATAGTCCTTCAAAAATATAAAGCTATCGTGCAGCGTAACTAAAGTATTTGTATTTTATTGGAAAACAGCGACGCGTAAACCTTAATAAGTTCATGGTTAATATGAGCAACTCGTTCTGCATACAATATCAACTTCATCTGGCTTAACTGGGTAATCGTGCACCATCAGACATTAATAACATCAACGCACCCGAAGGGAAAAAATGTTTACTCAACAAGCAATTAACCTTGTAACGTAAAAAACCACTACAAGAATCGAAAGCGTAATGGGGCGACGAGGCTTTGATATTACAAAGCATTACCGACGCCAGCGATATCTAATGAATTAAGATACACGTCTCCATGAAATCAGATGCTCGGTGATGAATTTAAGAAATAATTATTTTAGAAACGAACCCGATAAGTTTTCATAAAATTTGAAAGCCCTCTTTCTTGTTGCTTTCGCTATAATAGTGGGAGATAAAATTCCTGATGAAAACGTTATGTCTTTTATCGATGCTTGTAGACTGCCTTCGGATTAAAGAAGCTTATTTTTCTGCGCTATTCATATGGTATCAGACGGTTTTGCTATTTAATAATCATCATCGTAGAGATAAAGACGTCCCTGTGGATAGTTACTAAACATCATGCTCTTCAGACTAAAATAATATTGATAGAAAAAGCCAGCAAACATGGCAAAAAAAAACAAACAAAAAAACAAAAAACAAAACAAAAAACAAACAAACAAAATAAAAAAGCAAACCAAATACGGGAAAGAGAAATATGAACTTTGGTTGTAGAGGAATATTTGGAAGTACTCTCGGGGATAATGGTGAAGAAGAAACAGTAAACAAAATAAAAATATTAAGAAAAGAATGGATAACGGAGTTCCCTTCGCATTTGAAGGCTAAGGTACATGGTTTGCGGGTCTTATGAAAGAAAAATGTTCAGCAATTAACAGCTGAAAATTATAATCAATTTGGACAAATATATCTGCTGTTGTTTAATGAACATGGCTTGGCAAACATCACGCTTAATCTATTTTTCCTTCCCCCGTTTTAGCCCATTATCGGTTTGACACCTGATCGCGAGCGTATAAACGGAGGCGTGAGATTGAGCCCTATTGTTTGACTACTTGAAACCGCTAAGCAGTTACACTTTAATGTATGAAATACGTATTCAATATATTCGTTCTACAATGAAAAATAAAATAACTGAAAAATAGAGAGAGGATAGACAGTTTGAGTGGAGAACTTATGATTTAATTCTAAGGCTCGAAGTAAAATAAGACATGTGAGACAAGGTGGAGGTGGTAAAAAATAGGAGGGTGAGAAATACGGTAAAAAGTGTCGCCTCAATTGTCAGACTGAATCGAAGCTGTCAAATGCTGATATTTCCTAAAAATAAACGAGAAGACGAAAATTTAAGGGCTAAAAGCAAATAAATTATATTCCGTGAACCTCATGGAATATATGAGGCAAATTAACTTTGGGTTTTCGTGAGAGCACGATAGGAAGGTCAATGAAAAAGAAGCAAAAAACCACAGATGTCGAACGGTAGTTAATTTCACCGAAACATGATCGTGTATAAAAGAGACGTTCATTTTATTTAAAAAGGTTTGAGGTTTCAATCAAGATAATTCTCTTGATTTCAGTCCATAATGATATGCTTTTAAATATACCGTGCAAATAATTCATAGATCATCTTTCATCGCGGAAAATGCCTACACAAAAAATTTGACTAGGACAAGCGACCCATTGTGGCTCTGCCGCTAATATCTGCTGGACTTTATCGTTTGAATCTCACGAAATTTGCAAAAGGAAATCAGCTGACGGAGAGAACAGATATATCGTGATCTGAGAATAATGTCCTTTAGCTTCTGGTGCTTAAGTGTGTCGCATTTAGTCCTTACGCGGTCCTTGATGTTTTCCATGAAATCGAAAGACTATCAGTTTTCACATAACGTTGCAAACCATCTCTGAACCCAACTTAAAGGTTCGAGGTGCATACCCAATGATTCTACTGCTGCTTCTCTGATTTAGGATCTAAATATATAGCGAGCTCATGTGTTTCTGCTGTACGAGATAATGTGTACGCTACTTGAATGAATCTGAAGAGAGCTGTCTCCATAGGAGCTCGTCATCGTTCGCATTCGATAGTGCTCTTGCATACTTGATAACCTTCGACTGAGACTGTCACAATGAAAACATTGCTTAAGGCCGTTGCGATAGTTCTTGCTAAAGATAAAACAAATGCAGGGATTAACTGCACTCCATGAATGCAGCAGAAAGGCAGAAATAAATGGGATGATTGTTTGAAATGCACAAACGGGTGGCGATTCCCAATTCCATACAAAAATATGAAGAAATAAATAGATAAGCAGTGGAGTCATGCAGGAAACAAAGGAAATCATGATGGCCATCGTCATTTGGACAATTTTCCTCAGCTGCTGATCTCGATGGTTTTGGCGACAAGACAATCGCTCTTTACTTTTCTTGTTCTTTTTTCTTATTGTCCATATGATAATGCTATACACAATAACCAGGATAATTACAGGAATGAGGGTAAAAGTTATAAACGATGCCGTAACAAATCCCTTGTGTGTTTTCAGGTGGTCGAGTGCTGGTCCCCAATTTAAAATACAATACGTTTTATTTTCGTAGAGGATCAGTTTGAAACTGTAAAAATAAGGTGCGTGGAAGACGATGGCGACACACCACGTGATTAGTATGCTGATCAATCGTACTTTTGAGGAGATAAGTTTGGCCTTCAGTGGAGAGACGACAGCGAAGAGCTTGTCTATCGAGATCAAAAGAAGGCTTCCGATGGAAACCAAAAGGGAAACATCTGGCAGAAAGTAGGCAAGTTTGCATAAAATGTTTCCAAGCAGCCACGGACGATCAACTTTCCAGGATTCCGAGCCTGAAATGATCTCAACGATCTTCACAGTCATGACGGTCAAAGGGTTGAAGAGGTCAGATACAGCCATGTTGAAAACGAAGTAGTTGATGGATCTTCGTAGCTGCTTGTTCTTGTAAATGACCACAAGAAGAAAGATATTTCCGAAAAACGAAACCATGAAAATAAAAATATAAGCCAGAGCTTTAGCTGTAATCTCTACAGCGGAGTCCGCTGTTATTTCACAAGCTTGGTCGGAATTACTCGAAGCTGCACGGATGGTTATCTGTGTACTGTTTTCGGATAAGAATGTCATGGTTGTGTTCACCGTTATAATTTTCTCTGATGTTCGTCAAATTTACGAAAAGGCTATACAAAGTTCTTAACACGATCACTTGTTTAATCGCAGCACTGAGTTCGTTGAAGTCGCCGTATGGTCTGATCAAAGTTCTTAGGATGGGTCCTATATACTTGAAGATTCGTCTCGTTTTAAAGTTCATTTGAATACATAAATACAAATAAATGACAGATGAATACAATTAAATGGGGGCAAGGCTGACAACGAAAGCAATCATGATTAACGTTAAATAGAAATTACCCCGCAAAAGAGACGATGTATAGAGACTGTCGAATTTAGAGGCTTATGATGGATGGATTCCTCATGGTAGTGACTATCCTTTGAAATAAAATAAAAGCAGATAAAAAGGGAGCAGATGGAAAATCGTATTAAAGACTATTTAAGTATGCTGGATCGAGGACGCCGTATTTTTTTTTCTAAGGTTTTATTCATAATCTTAGGATATAGTTTTTTTTTTCTTCATGAGGCAGAGCTTTTTGCCAAGAGCTGGGTAGTTATGAGAGAATTACAAGTTATGCAATTTTTTTTATTTTATTAATTTGGTTCTTCTCTTTCGAAGTTTCTAGTTTGTACAAAAGTCACGAAAATAATAATGATAAAAAATAGCACTCAGCGACCTAGGAGATCAACACTGATTTTTCTTTATAATAATTTGCAGAGCAGATGCGTGGTTCCCCTTTACTATTGTCGAGCAGATTTTAAAACACGGAGGCGGGTAATAATTCAAAACACTCGATCATTACATTGTGAATCTGCGAAGGTTCCAGTGCCAGTTTCAGTATTCCCTCCAATTAGCAATCTTGTTGCTCTGTAGAGGCCTTGTTGAATTGTCATTCAATCAATTTCTCCGAGCCTGCTTACGTGCTTCCATTAAACTATGTGGAAATTACAATCACGTGCAAATATTCAGTCTTTGCTCGCGTGTACAGGATATAAGCCAAAATTATGTCACGTTTATCCAAATAATGAGAAAATCGAGAAAAAGAATCACGAGCTAGTACGTGCTAAAATCACGTTTCACTGAAAAATAGATGGAGCATCAGTGGGGTTCAAGTGGAAGTACATTTATGAGGGATTCTTACCGGATAGTTGGTGTGTTAAAGTTTTGGATACTATTTCACAAAACATAATCTCTTATAACTCTTTTCAGTCAAGACGTCAGCAAAATCTCTCCAGCTCAAGGGGATATTCTCTTTTTTCCCATGCTATATGAAAAGAGATAATTTCGCTTTGACAGGAAAGTCTTTCAGATATCTTTCCTTCCGATCGATATGCAACAATTTGCTCTTGTAGCTCGAATATGTTCGCAAGATCTGCATTCTCTCGGATAAGATGCAAATTTTTTCACAATAACTTTTAAGATTATAAAGCGGTTTGCCCGAATGAGAAGTTCACTTCAGACAGAAACTTGTCAAAGTACACTTGCGGTATATTCGATTGAACAGCTAGAATTGAGATTTCACTTGCACTGAGTTTATTCTCAAAAGGCGTAATGCGTTTTCTTTAACAAAGCCGTTCTTAACACTGAGGGGTCGGCATAATGATAAATGTGCGAACTGAAAAGTTTCACTCCGTCAATGCGTCTTAAAATTAATTGTTTTGCTCTTGGTGAAACGGGATGACAATTGGAGTGTCAATATCGATCGCGAATGCTTGTGAGGAAGTTCTAACCGCAAAATAAACACTAATTTAGATCTCGCTTTTACCTAGAATCCAAAAGGGGAAATTCCAAGATGAACTTTTTCTCAACGATAGGTTTAATCGGGAAAGATATAAGAAATTGCTCTCCTATGGCGAAAAAGACTGTTATTTAAATGCCCAATGTGATACTACGTGAAAAAAAATCTACGTGAAATACAATATACATGCATCATCTAGAAAAGTTTTTTGACAAAGAGACGTTTTAAGTGTGGTGAAGAGGCCCTCAAGGCATGAAAGGACTGAATTATACTCGAAAGGCACCTGTGTTGCTATTATTAACGACTGCCCATTGTTGAACGCAGTGTAATGAAGAAAGTTGTACCCACGTTGTGTCTGATAAAATTACAGTCTCGTTCACTTTTCCTGTGACAGCAAGATGAATTCTAGTATCGGCGGTAGAGGGCGTTAAACTCAGGCAAACTGATGAAGAAATTTTTGTGGAATAAACGTTTAAACGATGGAAACTAAATCTGGCACCTGAACGAGAGAAATGAATCCCCATAGAGAAAATAGAAGTAAAATGAATATTTTTCATCTCCTTGCCATTGATGGGTCGTGGATGCTGCATTTTATTAATAATTCGCATTTTTTGTCTTTTTGCTACATCTTTGTTCATCCCACAGAACTTCCATCAACATTCTGTCTTTTTTTTTTGATAATTTCCTTTCTTCCTATCGCTTTTATGCAAATATGTTTCATTCATTCTTGATTTCAATTATTCGGATCTATCGTGCAAACCATTCAAATGTCGTCGTCAATCTTTTCACGACATTGTCAATTTGCCCATTTTTTTTCCAGATCTCGTATAACGTTTGCAAATGACTTTATTTGCTTTTCTTTATTTTATGTTTTCTTGTTCAGTCAATTTATTTATCTATGATCGTAATAATTTTCAATTTATATCATCTGTTTATGGCAACCGCTTCAATTCGACTGACCGAATTCCTTTCAATTCGCTTTATTTCGCTTCGCTTCGAGTCGTTTTCTTGGAAGATAATTAACGAGCGCGTTGGACATGTAACGAGTGCTTTGACTGCTTATTAAATTTTTATGAGAGGCTCCCTAAATCCACCCTTTAGTAGCATCCGCACTTCAGTAGTATTAAATTGTGATTATCCTGATAAAGAGAATCAAAGAAATATATACATAGCTTAGCCAAGTTTGAAGGATAGGAAACTCGACAATGTACGTTGTCAGAATTGATGATCTTAGGAACCACTAGATGAACAAAATTTTATAATTGCAGCCTCCCCTGACCCTCAATCATAAGAAGAATCGGTCCCTATGGAGATCGAGGACACGAAACTAACCGACCTCTAATCATGATAAATCAGCCTCATGTTGTTTCTAACGAAGATTATACCACTGCCTAGGAACGGCTGCGTGAAAGAATTAAACGATCGCTGATCGTAGCTAATGCAGTGGAATTTACGGTCAACTCTCAAAGACAAATTTACTCCTTTTGAGCGAATCTTGAATATTCTAGTTCTGATTATTTTTAGTTAGATCTGAAATTGGTAACTAGAAATCCTGCTGACGTTTCCATGCACCGGCAAATCGCTTGGCCGAAGTTCCCTATGGTTATAATATAATAATAATAATAATAAAACTTTATTTACGTGTCAAAAAAGATAGCAGTTTCCCACTAAGTAAGGACACCTAAACTAAACTAATCTAATCTATATAAAACTATGCATTAAAAATTTATTGGAATATGATAAAAGAGCTCTTCCCATATAAAACTACCCTACCCCGAAATAGTACACCCCATGTTTATAATACCCTACCCTGTATAATAAGATAATAACCTTAATATAATGAGATAATAAGATAATAATCATTACAATAATATGATCTTGATAATATTTAAAATATTTAAGATTTACATAAAATACAGTTCTTGCAATTATTCGAAGAGATTAAACTTTGTATATCTACTTTATGTAAAGCGTTTTTAAATTCTTGCAGCGTTCTTAGTGCTCTTATTTTTCTATCTAACTTAGACCAGATTACTGGACCTAAGTAACTAAGAGAGTGCTTACCATAGCGCGTAGTACTAACTCTAGGGATAATGAAATCATTGTTTCTTAAATTATATTTGTTGTTATTAATAACAAACAGGTTTTTGATATTATTAGGGCACAGATCATTTTTAACTTTAAACATTAACACAGCTATGTCATGTAATCGCCTATTACGTAAGGTTTGTAAATTAGCCCTCTTAAGGAGGTCGCTATATGATGATATGCTATCACAATAAACAGCTCTAAGGGCCCGTTCTTGTACCCTCTCTAATTTTCTAGAATCACTAGCTTTGCAACAATTCCATACAATACTACAGTAAGTTAAATAAGGCAGAATAGCAGCTTTAAATAGTTGTAATTTAGCCTTGGCTGGGATTAACTTCCTTAATCTATTAATTACACCCACCCTTTGACTGCTGTTTTTACAGATGTTACTTATGTGATCAGAAAAATTTAAATTATCATCAATATTTACACCCAATAACTTAATAGAGTTATATGATTTAATGGCTGTTCCGTTAACATTTAGCTCTAACTGTTCATCATTTAGTCTACCTCCTTTCAATATCATTGATCCAAATTTATCAAAGTTCCCTTTGAGAAAGTTCGTATCGTACCAATTTGTGGCTCTTTGTGCAGTATCCTGTAGTTTTGTTTGTATAGTATTGATATCCTTGTTGATTTCGTAGAACTGATGGTCATCAGCATACATCCCAATTTTTGAAGGAAATCCGAACGTCAAGTCATTTTGGAAAAGATTCCATAAAAGAGGTCCAAACGAGGACCCTTGAGGGCATCCTTTCTTGACCCTTTTCCAGGAGCTTGCAATTCCACCAATTCTTAGCCTATTATAGCGATCCATAAAATATGATTTCATTAGCTTGATGCTCTCGTTTTTAAAGCCATATGCCTCCAGTTTAGCAAGTAATAGAGAATGATGAAGACAATCAAACGCTTTACTCATGTCAGTACTTAACAGGCCAACGCTCATTCGATTATCCAGAGCATTTTTCCAGTCTTCCGTCAATGCTAGTAGTGCCGTTTCACAACTGTATCTCTTCCTGTATGCTGTCAGGCTATCGCTCAAACGTTCATTAAATTCTGCTGTAATCTGATTTGTAAGAAGTTTTTCAAAGGTCTTATTTACCATGATCGCTATACTTACAGGACGGTAATTTTCCATGTTCAAACGATCGTCCTTTTTATAAACAGGCACCCACTCGCTTTTCTTCCAGTTCCTTGGCCAATGACAGCTGGCGATACATTGATTATATAGAGCGCATAACGGTGTAGCAAGCTCCGAAGAGCCTATCTTAAAAGCCATGGGTGGAATATCATCCCATCCCGAGGCTTTCCTGGGATTTGTGTCTTTCAAGATTTTCTGAACCTCCGGCACTGTTATATCTTTGAATTGAAATGGTTTGAAATCACCCTTAGATATGCGTTGGTTTACGATAGCTTGAATACTTCGGTGATTTGACAGGTCAGAATCTGAAATATCGCTGGTAGGACCAATGTTATCTGCAATGGTTGAGAAATAATCAGCCATTGTCTCTGCGATATCCAACTTGTTGCTGATTATTGAATCATTGACCTTCAGATTCATGTCCGATGATTCCCTAACCTTTTTTGATCCAAGAAAAGGCATGAATGAGTTGAGTTAAACTTGCTTGTATTACATATATATAAATAACGAGGTCATTTATTGATAGCAATTTATGAACCTGAAAACTATGAGTTTCGTGTCATATTCTGCTGCATTGGGATGTATAACAGAACTACCATTGGTCTTCACATGTTGAAATGAAAATCCTTTTTTCTGTCGAAAAAGTATCTTAAGGCGTAAACATGTCATCTTTTCCTTCTCTGCGGGTAGTTTGGGAATTCTACTCGAGAATATTTAAAGGTTCATGATCGTTTGTTTTAATAGCACCTCTTAGTTTCGTTGAAGTTACCGTTTGGTCTGACTAAAGTCTAGTGAGGGTGGGTTCAATTTATATGAAAGGTTTTTGTCTTGAACTTATAATTCCAATTAACAAGACATTAATACTAATATGTGTGGGCAAACTAGATACATTTATCAGTACTAACATTAAAAATAAACAATTCCTCTTGTCCCACGACATAACAATATCGACTTCCCATTGAATTAAAACAAAAGACGATATAAGGAAGCGGTCATTTTAATAATTGCGGGTTTTCCTTTTTTTCCTCGTATCGGTCTTTTATTTTGCTGAGAGCAAAATATTTGTAGCTTAAAACATGTAATCAGAAGTTATGCTCATTGGTTTGTTTAATTTTGTTCCTCAAAGTTGAAGTTTGATTATTGGTCGTAAAAATACCCACAAAAGACACTTAAGAATAATTAAAAATATATATTCTGCTTAGAGTATTACAGTTGCATTAGAAGAGATTTGTGTAACAATAGGCCTCTATCTATACCACTGATCCAAAAATCCGCATCATTAAACTTTCATGCTGCTTGTCGCCGTGTTCCTGACGTCCCCCTTGTGCTGTGCTGTTGGAAACATGAAATCGACGCAGTCTGCCACTTTGAGAATACGATGTAATAAAGCCTCTTGAATTAAGTGTTAAGTAGCGATCTCTGTAAGAGCGGTTCAGGGCATTTCGCATCGGAACAAAGTTTTCCTTCAAACTTTACCCAATAAACTATCTTTGGTAGCAAGTAAATAAAACCACATTAGTTTCTGGATACGTTAAAATAAAATTTTTAGAGTTCTCAATAGTTAGAGCTGCAAAAGGCCCTTTTTTGACCTCTTGCGACATCGAAAATTTCAAAAGTTGAAAAGCCCGATCATCGTATCACACCTCATGCAGCAAAAATTATTTTGTATTCTTAAACTGTGTAATATGTAAGGTGTATAAAAAGCATTTCAATTTTGATATTCGTTTAATCAGAGGTTGGTGACAATCTATTTAAAAACACTCGTTAGGAAGCTTTCTGAAATTGGTCAAAAGTACACTTTCTTTCTTGGTTGATATTGCTCAAGTCCAGAGCAGACCATTGAAAACTCCGCTGGATTTCTTCTCATAAGATGTTTGGCGGCAGAAAAAAAAAAAAACATCTTGTACTTATTAATTTTCTTCGCCGTGATGATTTCAAATCTTTAGTGGTTTTCACTGAATTATGCAAACTAGTACGTGGAACAAACTCCCACCGTTTTATATAAGTAGCCTAGTAAATCTTAGATTTTAACCATTTTAAGTGAAAAATATGGTAGGAAAGAGCTTTTAGACCATGCCGATTAACACTCTTAATATTTTAAAAGGCCAAATTTTGACAAATCTTGCTATCTCGTGATGAAAAACGTCAATAACAACGTATCGAATCACATGATTTGATTGGTGCTCAGTCAAGGTCTTGATAGAAACTCTTCTTTAAAAATTTGATCTCTGTTATTTCATATTTGAGTTTTGACAGCTTAAAATATACAAACCTGTATGAACATTTCAGAACCAAATCGTCTATGCAAATCGTCGAGAAGTAGTGGGAAAGAATGGGATCTCCTCCACAAGATCCGTCTTTTTTTGTGGACAAATTGCAATTTTATTCCATGAAATAAACTTCCCAGGTCCAACATTAAACGCTCTCCACACGTGCAAGCCCTCTTGTGTAAACTCAAAGTGGTGTAGGCTGTTGAAATTGGCAATCTTGTCAATTTCTAGGGTGAGTTCTGTTCCTGGACTATGCACACTGACGCCGTCGTTCCTCTGACTTGTCTCTCTTTCAATGCGGTATACATGTTTTTGGCTGAAACAACACCATGACCTTCGTTGCAGTATCTCCTGATTGATGCTTTTAACGGAAACAGAATCCTGTCACCCATATCTTTTCCAGCCTGTGGCTCAGAACGATCGTACCTCACGAGTTCGATTCCTTGGCGATGTCCGAGCTCTCGTAAGGATGACACTAGCTTACATTTGTGATAACAACGTACTCATCTGATCTTAGAAAGCCTTTTTTTATTCCTGGATTTTGCAACTTCATGATGAAATAAAAATTTTAAAGGACTGACAGCACTGAAAACCAGTCTTGTTTACAGCTGTTAAGAAGGTGTACGTAGCAGGTTACTTCTAGGTTTTCCTCCTGTCTCACAACAACACTACTCACATGCCAATTGATTCCCCTCTTGGCAAACCATTCTGCTTACTCAGTTTTCCGGAACTTCATAGCTATGAACTTCATTGCCCAGTCAACTAATATAAATGCTTCATCTCCCTCAAAGAATCAAGATCCTGGTTATCTGCCCTCAGGATATCCCCTTTTCATTCAAGAATCTCAGCGGCGGCATTTTTCGTTTCATACGGATGGTCTTCCTCTTGAACGTTACCCAATTACACTGTGTACTTAGAAATAGCATCTCTTACTTCTTCAAGAACACTCTTCTGATCAGCTTCTCACAATCCTCATACTTCACGTTGTGACTATGACTGTGACTGCATACTTTCCGAAAGCCAGTGTCACAAGCATCGTTCAATGCCAAGACCCTACAGTGATCGGCACATTTGCTATCATCCTCTTTGCAGTGATTACGATATGTAGTTTTCAAATACAACTTGCACAGGACGAAATTGCAAGAATCCGTAAACGGAAACGTGGCAGAAACATGTTAAACCGTTCCGGAAACACGACGGATAACCTGTGTTTCCGTTACCGGTTTCGTGACGTTTTCTCGCGTTTCCGTTGCTGCGTATACAACGGAACCGGACCACTTTATTAATTTATTATATGCTTTTGTTTCTGATACATGCAGGTGTGTTTAGAGTACATCTAAGCACCTTTGTAAGGTTTAGCTAGGTAACTATGTGTGGCTGTTGTGGTTCAATTTTAACCTTGCTTTAAATTTTATTTTACTTTGTGTTTAGATATGATAATATCTGTTGATGAGTTTGAAACAAAGGAAAATTTAAACCAGGGATAATACCGAACCACAATAATGATGTACTTATGAGAAACATTACTCTTGAGAGTGATAAATAACTTTTTTCGTGTTCACTTAGTGTCATCTACAAATGAGGGAGATTGGCAGAACTTCAGATTTTTAAATTGACAGTTATACAAACCAAACTCAGTTGGGAGTTTATAACTTTTGAATTATCCAAACCTCCAAAGGCAGTTCAGAGTTGTTAGGTAATTGGTGTTGTGTGACACTGATTGAACATTGACAATGTTATAAGGCCTCGTATGGGATTAATTATTAATGTTGTTATCAATGAGTTCCTTTTACTATACTTCGGTTAACAAATAAGGAAATGTACATTTTATTCTTAGCCATTCGCTGTTCGCTTTTGCCTTTCTTAGGCTTTTCAGTGGTGTTTTTGCTCTTTTGATTCTGTTAGATTTACTGACAATTTCTTTGTTTTTTTTTTTGTATTGTTGGTGACTGGTGAAACTAATAAAAACAATTTACAAGTCTACTACCTGAAATTCAGAAAGTTGTGTACCTGACGTTGTTGTTGTTTTTTTTTAATTTAAGAAGGCAGGGGGGAGGGGGGGGGTTAAGTAGGCCCATCCTCAACTGGTATAACAACTTTTTGGTTCAATCACACAACTATATTATTTGGCCACAGTGGCTCAAATGGCACACCTGTCTTATTTGGCTCAACCGGATTAAATGACACGACTGTCTCATTTAATCCAACCTACTCAAATCACACAACTGTTTCATTTGGCCCAACCGGCTAAAATCACACAACTGTCTAATTTGCCCCTACTTGACTAAGTAACACAACTGTGTTATTTGGCGCAACCGGCTCAATTTGTACAACTGTCTCATTTGGCCCAACTGGCTCAAATCAGACAACTGTCTCATTTGGCCCAACTTAATCAAATGACACAACTGGCTCAAAGCACATTTGTCTCATTTGACCTAACAGGCTCAAATCACACCACAGTGTCATTTGGCTCAAATCACAGAACTGTCTCAGAAATGTCTCATTTTGCCCAATCCACTCCACTCACATGAATGTCTCATTTGGCTTAACCAGCTCAAATGACACAATTGTCTCTTTTTGGCCTAACCAGCTCACATCCCAGAAATGTCTCACTTGGCCCAACTGGTTCAAATCACACAACAATCTCATCTGATCCAACCGACTCAAATCACACAACTGTCTCATTTGGACAAACCAGATTAAATGACACAACTGTCTCATTTGACACAACCAGTTCAACTTGTCTTATTTGGGCCAACCAGATCAAATGACACAGTGGTCTCATTTGGCCCAACCGACTTAAATCACACAACTGTGTCATTTGGCCTAACTGGCTCAAATGACACAACTGCCTCGTTTGGCCCAATCAGATCAAATGACACAACTGTCTCATTTGGCCCAACTGGCTCAAATCCCACAACCGCCTCATCTGACCCAACTGGCACAAATCACACAACTGTCTCATTTTGCCCAATCAGATCAAGTGACACAACTGTCTCATTTGGCCCAACCGGCTCAAATCCCACAACCGTCTCATCTGACTCAATCACAAAACTGTCTTGTTTTGCCCAATCGACTTAAATCACACAACTGTCTCATTTGGCACGACTTGTCTCATTTGAGCCAACCAAATCAAACGACACAACAGTC